TAATGTTCCTTCTTTGACTGATTGAGTAAAATCAATTAAATATTTAAATATAGCAGCTGGAAACTCTCTTTTTAGAATTGAATCAGAGAATTTATTAGCTAACTCATGTGTTATTTTTTGATTTAAATTTTTATTTTTTTCAGCTAACTTTAAAACTAAATTGAATTGCTTACCATCTTTTGAGTGAAACGCTGAATAATTAATTAGAACTTTTGATGCTAGCCACTTGTCATTTTGATAAGCATTAATTAGCTCTTTTTCATAAAAATCCAAAGCTATATTACTTATTTTATACCAAGCATTTTCAATTATTTTATCTGTAATTATACCCTTTAATGCTAAATTTTTATTAAGTAATAAATTTTCTACTTCTTTTGGCTGGCTTTTTATAAGTTGATTAATATTTTCTCTTAATAATTTTTTAATATATACATCTTCATTAATTATTTCTCTGATAAAATCTAGATCATAATTTGATAAAGCTGTGTTTTGAAACTTGCATATCTTATTATCATATAATAATTCTGGATGTTCTAAAAAATATTGATTGACTGGATCGCAATCTTTTAACCCATTTTCCTTATAAAAGGATTTAGGATCATCAAAACATTTTTGTCCCTTTGATCCTTCGAATTGACTGCAATAAAAATCCTCATCAATTAATAAATCTGATAAATATATATTAAAATTTTCTACCATATAGATATTTAATTTTGATAGGTAGCTTCTACTTGATTTATACTATGTACATAAGAAGAATCATTTATTACATTTATGTCCTCTAAGTCCTCTTGATGCTGATAGTACATAACTCCGTCTAACATCTTATTTAGATAATTTACATCTTCATTCTCAGACAAAGTTCTAGATTTTTCTTCTAAAGCCGCTATCTCATTAGCAATTTTTTGTTTTTTATCTTCAAAAGCTTTAATATCACTCTCTATATCATTTTTTTCATTTTGATATTTACTCTTATAACGACTCCAATGATTAACTTTATCTCTTAAATTTTCTTTTTTGTTTAAACAATTTTGATCATATCTTCCAGGTGAGTGACGCCAACAATTTTCACTCTCAGCAACACTTAAATCACTTTTATATGATGCATGAATACTTATAGCTTGATCGAGTTCGGTTTGTTTTTGGTTTAATGTAGGTTTTTTATTTTCAATAAAATAACCTAATTTTTTAATCTCTTCTTTTTTACTACTTATTTCATTATCTAGTTGCTTATATTTATCACTGATTTTATGTTTTTCTTGTTTTAATATATTTAAAGCCTCCTTT